TAAGTTGATGTGAAAAACATGTGGATACCATTCCACCTCACAGTCAAATTAATATAGAGAAATCAAATCCCAGAGACTATAGACATAATATCAAGGTGAAAAAAAGTAATCAGTAGCATCAAGATAGCAGTGGTTAAACAACTCCTGGACTCAAATGTTCAGGCAATGATAAAGGAGGGTAAAAGCAATTCAAACATGCAGGTTAAGCTGCAGACCCATAAAGTCAATCGGTAGTTGATGAGTTAGAACCTGTTTTATGTTGCTGTAGTTTAACTCTGCATCACACATTATTGAGAACCTACAATGGGATAGGTCTACTGCTGGGTGCTATTGGGAGCAGAGGCATCAATAAGGTGGCCCCTACCTCCAAAAGTCCCAAGTCTACTGAAGCAGATAGATTCATATGCAAGAAAACCTACTCAAAGGCAAATTCTGATAAGAATTGTATTAAAGGCATATTGACATACAGTTCAGTGAAAAGCAGTTCTTACTAGAGTTCTCTCTAGATAATTCTAACTTAACAGAGGGGACCTGACACCTAGTGCCAACTGGCCCTGAGATGACTATGCATCTCTGAGCAAAGAGCTTTCACTCTACAGTCCTCTATCAGTGGGAATGTGTGGTATATATACAAAATAGAATACTATTCAGCTGTAAAAAAAAAAAAAAAAAAAAGATGGAATCCTGCATTTGCAACAACATGGATGAACCTAGAGAGTAATATGCCAAACAGAGGAAAAAGACTACCATCTGATTTCACAGATATGAGGTATATAAAGAAACAAACTGATAAACTAAATTAAAAAAAATAAACTTTTGGACTATAAGCCCAATTAGTGGTTGCCAGAAGGGATGTGGGGAAGGGAGTAGGGAAACTGGTAAAAGGGGACACTTGCAGGGTGAGGGATAGAATTTGATTTTATTTTTTTAAAGATTTATTTATTTATGCATACAAGAGCTGGGATGCAGGCCACTGGTATGGGAGGGCGGGGGGAGTGAGAGGATTCACCAGAGACACAGTGGGGAGCAGTAAAGGCAGATCTACTGAAATACACTGCTGAGGGGAGCAGCTGGCAAGATATGAGAGGTCTGCTGCACCATGTGGGTCACCTCCCTGGCCATGGATCGAACTCGTGATATAGTGGCTGGTGACAGCTTGATTGTGCTGAGACTTAAACCTGGGGCCACCAGAGAGACCCCAAGAATTTGATTTTAACAGCAAACTTAATGTAGTATACACGTTACTATACAATGATGCAAACCTATTGTTTTTGTAATGTTATAATGCAGTGTTACTTCAATTAAAAAAAATTAAAAAGTTACACTCTCTGCACTGCAGTTCTCACATTTATGCCAGAAAAAGGTGGACTCTGCTTTTGATTATCACTGTTTGTCTTTGCTGTTAAGCTTCGTAAAGGTCAGGATCTGAATTAAACTATGAATAAAGAGACATTATGGGCCAGCAATTGAGGGAACATGTTTGCTAAAGGGAAATAATAGCATGAGCTGAGGCACGAGACACTGTCATCATCAATTTGCCAGTGAATAACACTGTAACCTAGATCTCAGGATTCCCTAATGGTATAAAACATTCTAAATGGACAAAAAAGAAAATGAGTATAAAATAAAAATGTATACAAACTTAAACAAAGTAACATGAATTATAAAAATGTTTAGAGTACCAGAGAATACAGTCACATTTAAATTAAATATAAAGTAAAGCAGATCTTACACTTCTAACAAATATCCTGTCATAATATATAAGAAATGAAGAGATGTAGCTTCATTTAAAAAAGAAGTCTGAATATCCATAAACCTTTCCCTATATTTGTCTTTAAAATGTATATATGCAAGGGAAATGTCTTCTTTCACGTATTTAAAAAAGGTTATATTAAAAAAAAGAGAGATTGGCAGAATTGCAAGAAAGAATCAAGACTTCAGAAATTAAATGAGACTGAGTTTCTTCAAATGAGGGTGCCATATTCCAAACTGTTTATTGCAAGAATTACTGAGCAGTGCACTCACCCATCCAGCCATCCGCCATCCATCCAAATATATATATACTTAAGAACATACAGACATACATTTGACCATACACAATCATTCCTACTAAAAACACAGTAGCATAATAAGAGCCAAGAGGAACATAAGGATGAGTGAGAAACCAAGCCTTCTTGCCTAAATGGGGAAACAAAGCTTACATTCTTATAAGGAAGAGGGACGTATCACCATCATATGGGGCCTGAGTGCCACAGACGCCATGAATAGAAGGTCTAGCAGCATGGCATGCTGCTCAAGGACAACAGTCTCACTTCGGAAACATATTAGCCACAAAGCCATAGAAATGTCACCTCTTCTCACTAAGTTTCCATTTCTTTATGTGGAAAAAAAAAAAAAAAAACACTGACTTGATAGGTTTGTAAGAGAAGGCAATAAAATGATAATGGAAAGGCACAGGCCACACACTGACTACATGTGCGACAATTACCCACTAGCAGCAGAAGCAGTACAACAAAAGAAACAGAAATCTGACAGTGCTAGACTATGATGTATGTGGAAACCCAGGGAAGGGAGTGATTACTAATGATTTAGACCATGCCAAGATATTTTGGAGAAGTTGATATAAATAGGATTTTGACAGGTAATAAAAAGGTATGTGATGGCACGTTAAGAAAGCACAGAGTTGAACAAAACGCTACAGAGTATCAGAGACAATGCCAGTATGCCTGGAGAATAAGAGACAGTGGGTGAACCTCACATTGTATAGTGAAAAAGGGAGGCATTTCAATGCAGGGAGGGCTAATTCATAGTAGTTCATAGTACCCAGAGTGCACAGGACTAAAGGGAGACCATTATGTGCTTCTGTCTCCCTCTCATAGGTTCCACTTATTAGCCTGGTTATATAGGAAGCCTGCCCCCAACCTGATCCTGGAGCACTTATAGACAGCCATACCTACTACATTGCATCCTACTCTGTGAGGGAATCTTTATGCCCTTTGTACTAAAGAGAAGTCCTTTTTCGCTCTCTCCAAAATAGGAGACAAAACCACAATTCCCCTAATAAGTACACAAGAGGAGAAACAGAGAAAGCAAATGAGGAACCAACTCATATCTCCTCTTATCCTTGTGAAGAGGGATTCTCTTCCAGATCCCATTTCTGAGTCCTGCAATCACCAAGGAATGATGAGCCAAAGAAAACCAGTTGCACTAAATCTCTAATTAACTATAAAGATACAATCTCCTTCAAGGGCAATAAAACTTCCGGCATTGCCATGGAGATTTGCAGAACACCAAGGGCTTCATTTATTGTTTTTTCACAGCAGCTTTCTGATGGCTTTGTTATAGCTCTTTCTGAAGAAAGGACACCCAAAACCTCACAGCCACAGCTCAGTTATTTATGCCAATGTCTATCTTCCCTACCACCTGCCTCTGCACCCAACTACCATATAGACCCTGGCCATGTGGAATAGGCTTCTGTCCTAAAATAATAATAAACTAGTGAAGTATTCACTAAGGCAGGGAAGGACTAAAATGAAAAGAGAAACAACTCCATCAAAATGCAAAATATTGTCATAGAAAATTATTGAAACACACTAAAATAATCCAAGTAACAATGAGAAACATGTAGAGGGTAAGGTCATTTTTTCAAGTAAGACATGAGGAGAAAATAGAGAAAGGGATGTTGAATCTCCTTTACTGTCTTTTCTCTTTCAGCAATCAGAAGTCTAAAGATCTTGTTTGTAAATTATAATTTATTATTTCATGAATTTGGATGAGCTGACATTGGTAAAAATATGGAGACCCTATTCAACCTGACAGTACAGTTCTCTTTATGCTGCCTGAGGGGTTCAGTACATGAGTGTGTCCATGCAAACACCTGAGATGCTGAACTCATGCAGATCTTTGACGTCCTGTTAATATAAAGCAAATGTACTGCTATTAAAACCACTTTAACCTGGCTTCAGTGAAACTTGACTGTGATCTTCAACAAATGCAGATCTCATAGAGATCTTCACACAATTTTATCCTATAGCAAGCTAGGGGAAAAAAATAGCCTGAAAAGGCAAGAAAATTCTAGGGGCATTATTAATTGAATTTTCTATGGGTCTTTCATCAGACCACTGCTTAGCAGTATCAAGAGAGTGGGACTCTTGGATGGTACACAGTCATGGTTGCTTACAGAGGTGATAGGTTGGCCAAGTTTGTGATTGTTTGAAGGCCATACGTAGAATGCAATTACACAACCCTTGATGGTACAGCCTACTACACACGTAGGCTATATGGTACAGGCTATTGGGACCTCTCTCATATATGTCTATTGTTGACTGACTGCTGTTAAGTGACTCATGACTATATACACATTAACAAGACAATGTGATGGGTATAGAGTTGAAGGCAGTTGAAGGGCTCTGCACTATGCAGGAAGAAACCAGTGTTCTAGTTTCAGCTCAAATCCTAGTTCACTACTTACCCATAGCATTATAACTCTTAAGAGTTCTCAATGTCAGGCCTCCCTGGTGGCGCAGTGGTTGAGCGCTGGGCTGCAAAGCTGCCCGCAACCTCTGCAGCGCTGGTTTGATCCCCAGCCACTGGCGAGGGTCCCACATGGCGCACAGACCTCTCCTGCCACGCCCACTGCTCCCCTCAGCAGTGTACTTGGGTCTGTCTGCCTCTCCTGCTCCCTGCTCTGGCTCTGGTGAATTCTCTCACACATACACTGCCCCCGCTCCACCCCGCACTTCTGACTGTACCCAGTGCTTGTATAAATAAATAAATCTTAAAAAAAAAAAAAAAGGTGGTGTTTAAAAAAAAAAAAAAAGAGTTCTCAATGTCCTGATCGCTGAAAGAAGGGATGATCAAGATGTTTCCTAGAAGTCCTTTAGTCCTATGATCACCACTACAAGTTATTGAGCTACCTTTTTCAGATATATTGTACCATAAATGACTTTTATTATATTGAACTCTCCCACATGGACATCCAACTCTGAAATCTCACTTACCTTCACCTCCAGGCTGTTTGTATGGGTTGTACTTAGGCTTTGGAGCAACAACTGGCGCAAACTTCTTGGGTGGCTGTTGTGTAGACACTGAAATGCTAGGGGTCCCAAAGGAATGGGTGGTCTCCATCCGTGCAGACACATGGCCAAGGGGTTCACCAGTGCTTTTGGGTGGCAGCCAAGATGGGTGAGACATTGTTGGGATCTAGAATTAAAAGAAACAAATGCAATTATTTTAATAGATGCATGAAAATGGAAACAATTTTGTATTCTTATTTCATTTTATTCTATATTTAGGGTCTTCTTGAAAAATCTCTCTGAGAAGATGAAAAAAGAAAGAGAAAGAAGGAAGAGAAGTAGCAGGAGAAAAACTGAACATTTCTAACAACTAGTTTTGAAATTTTTCTTCCAACAGTCTCCTATTTTAGGCTAGCATTTTTTTAGGAAATAGACATGAGTAAGAAATGATACTTAAATGAAGGAATTTAAATGGTAGGAGAATCTTGTATCAGTAAGGTTAGAGAAAAGCTGTAGGTTTATTAATAATCTATTAAACACACCAATTAAAAGGTGATTTGTTACCTAAATGAGGTGATAGTTATCTAAATGGGGTCTAAAAAAGTGTTGACAGGATGCAGGAAAAAATAAGATTTATTTATTTATTTATTTATTTATTTATTTATTTATTTATTTATTGCTCTTTGCTAAGAGCAATACAAAGGAAGAGCTTCGGGTTGGGCATGAGTGTAAGTAGAGGCCAGTCCTGAACTGCTGTAGCAAAGCTGTACAAGCAGAACATGCATAGCACTTATGCTTAGTGTGGCTGAAGGGGAAATAAGGAAAAGTAGCTTGCAAAAGAAATAAAATGTGAAAAGGAGCCAAAAAGCACACACAACTTTGCGTTCAAGTTTGAGAGTGCTGAATTTATTCCTTAGGCATTAAGAAGCCACCAAAAGTTTATTCTTGAAACAAGATCATAGAGAATGCAGGGCAGGGCACTTTAAAATGAAGGGATGAAGGGCATGAGAGAACAACACACTATGGTGGAGGACAATGGGTGCTTTGGCGGTGGATGAGCAACAATAACCACCTAAGGGAAAAAAATCCTATATTGTCAAAATATTAATGAAGAGGTAAAATGATGGTACTTCTTCAATAAAACAAAAATTAAGGTGGACCTCCCTGGTGGCACAAGGGGTTAAGGTGCAACCTATGAAGCAATCCACAGCCACTGCAGCACAAGTTTGATCCCCACCGAGGGAGCTACCCACATGGTGCAGCAAACCTCTCCTGTGTCGCCCACTGCTTCCCCTCGCAGTGTATTTCAGTCAATCTGTCTGTTCTGCTCCCCACTCTGTCTCTGGTGAATCCTCTCTCCCCCCACTCCTCTGGTCTGTACCCCAGTTCTTGTATGCATAAATAAATAAAATCCTTTTTTAAAAAAATAAGGAAAAATAAAGGTTTTAGCTATTGTGTCATGCATATGTCAATATGTGACTAGGAGCAAAATCTAATAAATTGCACTTTGATGAAAAGTTAATTTATAAATAAATAAACAATAAATAAATAAAATTACCATCCTGACAAGAGGAGTTCTGCCCCTCATCTAAGAGCATCTGGACTTGGCTCATTGTCATAATGCCTAGGAAATTTACTGGCATTCAGTGGCCAGAGCTAGAATATGCAACACCTGTAATGCACAGTTCTGCCCCACATAGCAAATATATGCTCTATCAGGAGCGATGCTGAGCTGATTTTATATTGAACCTTTAAAAAAAACTTGAGGAGGAGTAGGGATAAACCAGCCCAACCCAGCCCAGGTACTGTTCTCATTAAATCACAGTACACCATGTGAGTAAAGAAAAATGAGGTCTTGCACTTCAGGGTAAGTCATTCACTCCAGGCAGCCTGCGGGCTGGGATTGAGCCTCACAGACTGCTATTGAGGAGGACTCTCCAAGCCTGATTGCAAGAGCTCTCCAGCTCAGGGAGGCCCGGAAGCACCCCACACCCATTCCCAGCCCCAAATCTACTCAGTAATTTATTAATTGAACTGAATTAATTGAGAGGGATGCATGATTACCCCCAGATGTCTGTAAAGACAAAGAGCACTGGAAATTCAGAAAAAAAAAGGCCTCAGCAAGCAGCATGGCAATAAATAATAGAGTGAATGGGGAGAGAACAGGCACAGGAGTGCCCAAGTAGCATGAGCTCGCAGCAAGAGGAGTGACATGACATTGAGCAGACCCCATCCTATCACCCAGTGCCTCAGGTACCTCCCAAACCCTCAAAACTAAGACAAAAGCCCTTTCCTCCTTAAGTCAGAGTTTTTATGACAACTGATAATATTAAAGTGTTTTATAAATTGTAAAATGCTATACAAAATGAGGAAAGGAATATTGTTGGAGGCACAGTTTTCTCAAAGAAAGATTCAAAAATCAATGAGGACTATAAATTGAGAATCAGGTGGTTTCTTTTACTAAAGCCAGTGATGACATTGGCTTTTCATTCTAGTTGCAATGTGTGTATGTATGTGTATATATATGTGTGTATATATATATATGTATATGCATGTATATACATATATGTGTAATATATGTGTGTATATGTAATATACTTGCTAAATGCAAGTTCCTTGAAAGAGTAGTGACCATATTTTATATCCTTAAATCACCACTTAGGCCCAGAACAATACCAATAGATAAAACCAACCAAGAATTCCAAGAATGTCTGATTTGCTGATGGGTCTTAAGCATGGCTGGATATTTAGAAGCATTTGAGAAGATTTAAAATAAATACCCAAACCAAACCCATCTCTCAGGATTGAAAGAGACATTATATATTTTTTTTAGTTGTGCCTCAGACTTTCACTAAAAGGAGGTAAGAGTTCTGCTTTCTTTTTTTTTCCTCAGTTATTCATTTATGCATACAAGAGCTGGGGTGTAGGCCAGAGGAGAGGGGAGAGGTGAGAGGACTGACCAGAGATGGAGTGGGGAGCAGGACAGGCAGAACTACTGAAATACACTGCTGAGAGGAGTAGCAGGAGAGACAAGAGAGGTCTGCTGTGCCATGGGGGTCAGCTCCCTGGCCAGAGATCTAACTAGTGCTTTAGTGACTGCTCATAGCTTCATAGTGCTGAGACTTAAACCCTTGCACCACCAAGGAGGCCGAAAAGTGTTCTGCTTTCAACATGACTAAAGAGAAAGTAAGTGAAAGGAACAAGTTCAAAAAAATAGAGGTTTGAAAATTTTAATACACTATGTACATTTGTAGTATAAATTGTATTTATACATTTTTACAAAAGCAATTCTTACCCTTATAACTTTCCTGTAAATCTCAAGTTATTCCAAAATAGAACTTGAAAAAAAATGGGTTCTTGTAGACAGTAGTGATTCCTAACACAATGATGCCCATTTCCAGAGCAATTCCACCTTGCCAATTTGCTGTGGAATCCTAACGTTTTTAGATATGACATAGGTAGAAAAGAATGGGACACTTCTCTGAGAGTATGACACATGAAACAGTCATCCACACCAAATCACTAATTCCATTATCTGACCCATTATTCCCAGTTCCATATAATACACTGACACTGCCCTCCCCAAGAGGCACCTCTGGATCCACATCCTGAGTCATGTCCAAGTACCTGTTACAAATGACCTTGACAGCATCTTCTCTTACTATTATTCCATGTCAACAGTGGTCTAATGATACCCAAGATTTATAATGAATTTTAATCATCCTGAACCCTTGTTCATGCCATACCCACATCTACAATGCCCTTTTATTACCTTCAATTTCTACCAAACCCTGTTTTTATTACCTTAAACCAGGTCAAAGGTCCCATACTCTGTGGACATTTTCCCAGCTCCCATTATGCTTAATACCTGTACTCTTCTAGCACTTCTTTCATACTTGTAATAATCTATACAGGTGCTACTTACTCACCTATCTAACTCCCCCAATAAACTAGAAGTTCCTGAGTGGTCTTACTACATCAGCAGTATGTTTTTGTAATAAATTATTAGAAAAATATATTATACATTGAATGAATGAATGATGATTTCCTTAGCTACTGATCCCTTTCTAAAATCTATTTTCTCTTCTAACTTCCATTTAATATAATCATCTCTTTCCCTCTTCCATAATTTGGGAAGGCAATGGAACACAATTATAGGGCTTCAGATATTGAACCATCTTTGCATTTCTAAAGAAGTATACAACATAGTGACAGTTGCAGGGTTTTGATATACTTAGGAATTAAATATGCTATTTATTTAGAAGTTTCACACATATAATTAAAAATAGGATCATTCTGTAGTGTTGTATCTCTTGTCATTTTTACATTTTATATTAGGGCTATGTAGCCCTTTCAATTGCTTGAATTAATTTAATGATAAGACTAGAATTATCCAATCTTTAAAGATTTACTATAATTCAGTATAAATTCATATAAATGTGATACCTTCTTTAAATATCTTACTCATATTTCCAATAACTTATATAATCATTACAATACCTTTTTGCTTCTTTTGAGGTTGTTTTCAGCATTTACAATATGTTAGAAATTCATCCACTCCCTCAGGTTTTATCTCTCTCTGCTCCTTTTCAACCAAGGTACCTCTTGATTAAAAATGATGTCTCATCTACTATGAATCATTTAAATCTTGTGCATCACTTCTAATAGTCCTCAGAAACACAATTCTCTATCCTCCATTTAAAGTTATGTACTTTTTATTGGATTTCCACAGCACACGGAATATTGCCATCATGAAACTGATGATGTCTGCCTTTCTACTTGCTGTATCCCTAATTAAGCACTTGAATCCTTAAGAGCAGACGTAATTATCAATTACAACCCCAGAACCTAACACATGGTAGGTCCTCAATAAAAAATTGGTTACTATAAAAAATGAATGAACTTATTGGCCTGACACTGGAGTATCAATGAATCATATTCTCATCTTGTACACAAGGAGCTTGAAACCTACCTGAGGAAGATATATTTATATCTGCAAAAAGAGAGAGCATACGGTACTGAGGTATGTCACAGGAGCTAGCAAAGGTTTAGCAGAGGTGCCCTCACTAAGTACTTTGAAAGCTGAGTGGCTCTGAAAGAGAGAGCAATAAGGATAAAGTCTCAAATCACTGTGAGTTCAGGGAAGAAGCAGGCACTTCGGTGGGACAGGAAGCAGACCAGTTACAC